GGGTCAAGCTGCATTCAGGGAGCCAGTTACCATCCAGGTAGTGATGTCCAAAATGCAGTTGGAAGAGTTGCTCTCTTTTGATGTATAATTTTATTTATTTATGGCTGTGCTGGGTCTTTGCTGCTGCACGGGCTTTTCTCTAGTTTCAGTAAGCAGGGGCTACTCTCTAGTTGTGGTGTCTGAGCTTCTCATTATTTTTTTGGGGGGGACATGTGGCGCAGTTTGTGGGATCTTAGTTCTGCACCAGGGATCGAACCTGTGCCCCCCTGCATTGGAAGCCTGGAGTCTTAATCATTGGACCGCCAGAGAAGTCCCACGGTGGCTTCTCTTGTTGCAGAGTATGGGCTCTGGGGCGTGTGGGTTTCAGTAGTTATAGCTCCTGAGCCCTAGAGCACAGGCTCAGTAGTTGTGGTTGCTTGTGGGGTCTTCCCAGACCAGGTATCGAACCCAGGTCTCCTGCACTGACAGCCAGATTCTTTACCACTGAGCCACCACAGAAACCCCAAAGTATTGCTCTTGATAGAGTTAAGGGCCACAGATTGAGGCGTAGGATTCCTTTGCTTAGGGTGGTGCTCATGGGGGAGGGGAATGAAATCAGCAAGGAGAGCCTCTAAAGAGAAAGAAAACCTAAGGACTGGGTAGCCAGGGTCTCATGCATAGGTGCTGGCAATGCTCAGGTGCAGGAGGGATCTACTAGAATCCACCGTCACGGAGGCCAAGGGACGGATCTGAAGTTACTGTCATTCAAACGATGAAGTAATCAGTCGCCTGCATTAGTCTCCCTCCTATTACCCTCCCCTGGCGAGTGCTGTCATTACATCTTTTTCTTGCTCCGAGAAACCCCTTACATACTTGTGATTCATCAGCGTGATCCTGTGCTTAATGTCCACCTCCACCTCTGAACTGTGAGTTCCAGGGAGGCAGGAACCCCTTCCTTCTTGTTCCCTCTTCCGTCCGCATCAGGTGTGTGTTTAGCACGTAGTCCTGTTGGTACCCGGAAAGTTGCTGCTGGGCTTTGATGGGACTCTGGCCGTCCACACACACCCTCTGCCTGCTGCCTTCCCCCACCCCCAGCTACACACACACAAACACACACACATTCACTCCACACAGGTTGGGAGAGGAGGGACTTCAGACCCACAGGGTACAGCAGGCGGGAGTGGGTCGCCAAAAATAGGTCATCCACACTCCATTTACTCGTGCATCACAGTGGCCAGCTTGAGGGCAGCCTCACAGCTGAAACCCAAAGGGTACAGGACTCAAACCCAGGGTCTCTTCAGTGGAGCCTTCTGATAACCACGGACGACAGAACCTCTCATCTGACCCCGTTAACCATCCCCTCGGAACTTCATGCCTTCATCTTTGTGCAGCTGGTCTTTTTATCACCGGTTTTCTTGGAGGGAATGGTGTTTCCATTGTGATGCTGGAACCCACCTGTGCAATGATGTTTGAACCTTAACTTCCTTCGGATAACAGCTTGGCCAGGTGTCTTAGGTCAAGGTTCCCCAAGAGGACCTAGAGATGAGATTTGTGTGTAGGTGTGTATCCCCGGTGTAGGGAGGGTGTTGTCCTTGGACATGACTGTGCGTGCATGTGTGTGTGTGAGTGGAGGGATGTTTCTCTGTGCCTGTGAGTCTGTGAACACGTGTGTGTTTCTGAATCTTTCTGTGCCCCTGACCCTGCTATACACAGAGAAAGGAGAGAGGGACTTCAGATACAAGTGAGGGAACGAGCAAGGGGTGGGATGACAGGAACAGACACAGGGAGACAGAGCTTCCCCCGTAAGGACGAGAAACAGCAGAGTGACACACGCGGACACACAGACACACACACACGCACGCTCTGTCAGTTTCTTGGTGGGCTTTCTTGAGTGGATTGGTGTACACTTCTTACAGCGATGCATCTGTGTGTGATGGGCACACGCCCAGACACCTGCCCATTGAGCCTCAGAAGTAGAATGGCAGGTGTGCAGAGACCCAGGGGTGCGTGCGTGCTAAGTCACTTCAGTTGTGTCCGACTCGGCACGACCTTATAGACCACAGTTCCCCAGGCTCCTCGGTGCGTGGGATTCTCCAGGCGAGAAAGCTGGGGTGAATTGCCATGTTCTCCTCCAGGGCCGAGACCCAAGGCAACACGCAAATGTGGACACTTAGACGTAGGTTAACAAACTGCATCTTTGCAGGTATATTCCTCCACGTGTATGTGTGTGCTTTTCTGAGTACGTGGGCATCTGTGTGCCTGAATTACGCAGATGTGTGTAGGAGAGAAACATGTGGGTACACCCTCTGAGAAGCACACACAGAGCACCTGTATCTCTGTGTGTGTACGCACATGTCTGTCTGCCTGCAGGTCGGGGAGGAAGGGGGCACCATCGTTGAGTTGGGAGGAGGAAGACAGGGAGAAGTCCAGCAGGAGGTGCCCCAGCCTCACCCTCTCTCCTCACATAGACCCAGCTCCCCATCCTTTTACTCAGCAGGATGATGGGGTTTGGGTGGGTCCATTTGCGAGCACTGCTGAAGGCCCTGAGGTCTATCAGCTCATCCCAGACTCTGGGGAGGCAGGGAAGTTCCCACTAAAGATCCACCTCCACCCCTAGAACCCACACCCCTCCAGGGTGGTGGGGGACGTAAAGCTTGCTTTGATCACTAGGCTGTGGAGCGTGGAGCAAAGAGACCCCTTTGGGGTCAAATCCTCACCCCCATGCCTCAACTTCCACCTTAGGGCCCTAGGGCATGGACCAGCCCCTTAACTGCATGTCCTCGGTGCTAAATACGGAGGAAGCAGGAGCAACTGCTTCCTGGGTGACTGAGGATTAACCCCACTCCCAGGGCGGATACCTGTTCATCTAGCAGTTACTACTTGAGCACTTCAAAGGCTAGGCGCTTCCCTGATAGCTCAGTTGGTAAAGAATCGCCTGCAATGTTGGAGACCCTGGTTTGATTCCCGAGTTGGGAAGATCCACTGGAGAAGGGATAGGTTACCCATTCCAGTTTTCTTGGGCTTACCTGGTGGCTCAGCTGGTAAAGAATCTGTCTGCAGTGCACAGTGCAGGAGACCTGGGTTCGCTGCCTGGGTTGGGAAGATTCCCCGGAGAAGGGAAAGGCTACCTACTCCAGTATTCTGGCCCGGAGAATTCTGTGTACTGTATAGTCCGTGGATTTGCAAAGAGTAGGACACGAGCGACTTTCACTTTCACTTTCCAATGGTTAGACTGTTCTTGGCCCTGGGGCTTCAACATTCGACACAGTGAAATTCGCTGTCTTCACGGGGTTTACCTTCCATGTGGAGGAAGCTAGTCAGTAAACTGACGGTGTAGAACACGTCAGAGGTGGTGAGCATCAGGAAGAAAACCACGGCAGGGCACGGGGCAGAGAGAGGATGAAGGACAGCTTGGATAGGATGATGTTTGCCCACAGTGGAAGCGAAAGTGAGAGCTGCCGGATGGGGAGAGGATGGTTAGAGGCAGGGAGTAGAAAGGCAGAGGATCGGACTTCCTTGGCTGGCCAGTGGTTAGGACTTCATACTTCCCCTGCAGGGGACATGGGTTCAATCCCTGGTCGGGGAACTAGGACCCTATATGCCATATGGTGCAGCCAAAAAATTGAAAAGAAGGGCAGAGGACCATGTTGTTCTCCCATTTTACAGTGGAGGAAATGGAGGCACAAGGAGGTTAGTAATTTGCCCAGAGTCTCACCGTCAGTGACAAGGAGACCCAGGACTTAAACCTGGGGCGGTGTGGTTTGAGCCAGTGATCTAATTGGGTGATCCTCGACCAAGGGTGATTTTTGTTCCCACTCCAGGGGATGTTTGGCCATGTCTGGAGACATTTTTGGCTGCCACGACTGACCTGGAAGGAGGACTAGCATCTATGGGCAGAGGCCAGGGAGACGGGTTAGACCTCCCACAGTGCACAGGACAGCCTGACCACTAAACAATAATGCGTCCCCTTGCCAACTGTGCTGAGGTAGAGAAACCCTGGTTTAAATCCATGAAAAGCGCTTGACAGAGAATATGATACATCGTAGGTACTTGATAAATAGTAACTGAAGAGGAGGAGGGAAATGGTTTGGAGAAGATTGCAGGGCAGAAATGAATTCAAGAAACAGTACATGTTGGATGAACCTAGAGAATATTACACTTAGTGAAGTAAGTCAGACAGAGAAAGATAAATACTATACGATAACCCCTATATGTGGAATCTGAAAATAATACAAATGAATCTATATACAAAGCAAAAACAGATTCATAAACATAGAAAAGAAACTTGTGATTACCAAAGGGAGAGAGGGAGAGATTGGGAGTATGGGATTAACAGATTCAAGCTACTGTACATAAAATAAATAAGCAACAAAGATGCACTGTACAATAGAGGGAATTAATTATAGGACTTCCCTGGTAGTTCAGTTGGTAAAGAATCCGCCTACCATGCAGGAGACCTGGGTTCGATTTCTGGGTCGGGAAGATCCCCTGGAGAAGGGAATAGCTACCCGCTCCAGTGGAATTGCCTGGATAATTCCACGGACAGAGGAGCATGGCAGGCTGCAGTCCATGGTGTTGCAGAGTCAGACATGACTGAGCAACTTTCACTTCACTTCACTTCTTCACAGGGAATTATATTCGATATCTTGTAATAACCTATAATGGAATTTAATTTAAAAAGAAAAAAAAAAACTGAATCATGTTGCTGTACACCTAAAACTAACACAATGTTGTAAATCAACTATACTTCATTTTTTTTAAAAAAAGTACATGTAAATGAATCTGCCAGTTAATAGAACTCATGTGATGCTGTTTGATGGGTGAGTATTTGGGCAAGTTACCCCTGGGAGGGTGCATGCAGGTGAGGCTGGTGGTTGGAGGAGGTTGATGAACCAGGCGGGGCGTGAAAACCCACGCTGGGCAGCCATCAGCCTCTAAAAGACTAACCAGAGGACTGGTCTCTCTGTTCTCTCCCACCCCGTGTCTCTCTCCCCGTCTCTCTGGACCACTCTGCCCAGAAGGGGACAGCCGGAGGTTGAAGGGGGCCATCCAGAGGAGCACGGAAACCGGCCTGGCTGTGGAGATGCCCAGCCGGACCCTGCGCCAGGCCAGCCACGAGTCCATTGAGGACAGCATGAACAGCTACGGCTCCGAGGGCAAGTGAGTGCGGGGCCCGCAGTCGTCTCGGGTGTGGGGTGGGTGGGAGGGATGCAGCAGTGCCCTCTAGGAGCCCTGGGTCAGCCTCAGGCCAGGAGGGGTGCTCACTCTGGGCTCCTGGGTCATCCTCAGCCTTGGAAGGGAGGTGATGAAAGGCAACGATTCTCCGAGGAGGTGTGAGTGGGGCATGGATCTGGTACCCAACTATCTGGGTCTCAACCCTAGCTCCACTGCTCACTGATGGTGTGATCCTGGGCAGGTCAACTCTCTGGGCCTCAGTTTTCTCATCTATAGCATGGAGACAGTAGTACCAACCTCATAGGGGGTGGTAGGAGGGTTAAATGGGTTAATATTTATAAAACACCTGGCACAATGGCTGCCACAGCAGAGGTTAATGAAAAAAGGGGATTGAGAGGGGTTTTGTTGGGATGGTGGTTATTTCCTCTTTAACTCTCTTAGTTGCCTTAAATCCCAATTGGTTTTTAAAAATATGTACTACTGCCTGATAAGGAGTTTCACACACATCAAGTCATAGCACATGAGGTCCAGCTGGCTCCTCGCCTGTTTCTCTCCCCCGGCTGTACATCAGAATTGCCGGGAACTTGTTACAAATACCGATCTTGGGACCCTGAATCCAAGCCACTGACTCAGACTCCATGAGGGTGGAGCTTGGGAGTTCCAATTTTAAAAGACTCCCTGGGACAAGATCAGTCTCGACTGGGGCTCTCACTGTCCGGCTTCCATGGTGGCACAGGCTGTAAAGAATCTGCCTGCAATGCGGGAGACCCGGGCTGAATTCCTGGGTGGGGAAGATCCCCTGGAGAAGGCAGTGGCTACCCACTCTAGTATTCTTGCCTGGAAAGTCGGATGGACAGAGGCGCCTGGTGGGCTGCAATTCATGGGGTCGCAAAGAGTCGGACACGACTGAAGCGACTGACATTGCACTTTCACTTTGAGAATTTTGGGAAAGCTTGGAGCCTGCTTTCCCCTGATAAATACGCAGATGTGCACCCTAACACACGCACACCACACACACTCATTCTCATATGCGTGGTCACACAGACGCATTTCATTTTAACTGTAGGGGGCTCCCAGATTCCCCTAAACCCCCCTGCCAAAGAAGCTGTGATCCACTGTGACTTCTTCATTGTACAGACCAGGGCATTCAGAGAGGTTGAGGGGCTTGGCCTGGATCCCACAGCACGTTCATAGGTCTGGAACCCAGGCATCCAGACTCTTAGTGGGGCTTGTATCACAGTACCCCATTGCTTCATTATCTCAGCCGTCCTCAGCCAGGGAGGACAGGGGCATCATGACCCTTCTCAAGCACACGAGACTGGGGCGTGGAAAAGTTAAGCCCCCTGCTGTCCAGTATGGTAGACCCCAGGCGCATGTGACTAAGTGTAAGTGAATGAAGATGAAATATTCTGTTCCTCTGTCGCTCTCACCGTATTTCAAGTGCTCAGTGGCAGCCTGTGTTCAGCACCCACCGTATTGGACTGTGCAGGCGCTGGACATTTCCATCAGTGCAGAAAGTTCCACTGGATGGCTCTGGCTGAGTGGCTCGTCCATGGGCAGACACCCTCCAGTTTCTGCCCTGCCTTGCAGCTGGGGGCCCTGCCGCCTGAAAGCCTTCCCGCCCCCAGCCCCTCCTAAGCTGGGCATCTCCGGTCTCTCTGAATGGCCTTGCCTTGGCAGATGCTGCTGGTCCGCCCACCTCCTAGGGAGACTTTCCGGAGGGCGAGAAGAGGAGGAGGACATGTGGAAGGCAGAGGGAGAAGAGGAGGATGAAGGGAACAAATGTTTGCTTTAACCTGAGAAACTCGGCAAGACAGCGAAACGTGGAGGGAGGCAGTCTAGGCGTCAGGGTAGCAGTGGGTCCCTGCTGAGTTTCAGGGGATTGGGAGATTTGGGTCCTGGTCCTGGCCTGGCTGCTGACCCCGAGTGGCCTTGGGCATGTCCCTAGTCCTCTTTAAGCTTTAAGGAGGCTGATACACGTCTCATCTGTTAGCCTCATGGGCAGGTCAGAGGCCCAGGTTGAGGAGGTGGTATCATGGTGCAGGGAACAGCAGCAGGGGGTCAAACCTACATTCCAGTTTTCCAGAAGAGGAGCTGAAGGCTCAGAGAGGCCACAGGACTTGTCCACGGGGATCAGCGTAGGAGGGTGTCGTGAGGAAGAAAGGAAATGATGCTGGCACGTGACAAGTGCTTGGGACGTGGCTCTTGTTGTTTGCTGTCACCTGCTTTAAGGGCCCAGAGAGTCAGATTATATTACAAACATGTTCAAAGTCAGGACTCTGGAGTCAGACAGTACTGATTGAGCCTCATTTCTGCTTCTTCAGAGCTGTGTGACTTTGGGGGAAGTTACTTTACCTCTCTGAGCCCAGTTTCTTCATCTATAGAAAGAGGTCCAGAATAGTTCAGACCATTAATAGAGTTGTTGTGGGGATTCAATGAACTAACATATGTCAAAGCACTTAGAACAGTGGCTGGCACATTGCAAGCATTTTTGTTACTATAGCTATTACCGTTGTTTGTCGATTCAGCCACTGTTATTTGGGCATTTTGCTCCTTGTTATAATTGTGTCTAGAATGTGCTTAGTACAAGGTAAGCATGGAATAAATGTTGGCGGTAATGATTATGATTTTTAAAAAATTTCTTTCTTTACTTGGCTGTGCCAAGTCCTAGTCGAGGCATGCAGGATCTTTAGTTGTGGCATGTGGGTTCTAGTTCCCTGATCAGGGATGGAACCTGCGCCCCCTGCATTGGGAGCACAGAGTCTAAACCACTGGACCACCAGGGAAGTCTCCTGTGATGATTATTATGATTGTTAAAAGGTTTGTGGTGGGTGTCTTGAGATAGTTGAGGAGGGATCAGGTGGGTTTGAGGGTCCTCTGTCCCGCAGAGGGGAGAGTCTTGCCCTCCTGAGAGGGACCAGGTCTTGGTGGAGCCCAGCCAGGTGCTGCTACCCACCCCCAACACGCACCTGGCTGAGGAAGGGAGGTTGAAGGGATGGGGGGACAGGTGGGGACACTGAGTGCTAGTTGGCCTCCTCTTTGTTTTGAAGGTATTTTGGGCACTAGCAGGACCCAGATGCCAGGCTGTGAAACAGGAGGGGGTGTGACCGTCCTCCCCCTGGGCTTCTGCCAGCCCAGCTGAGGCTTACAGAGAGCCAGTGCCTTTGTGCAGCCCCCACCAGCCTGCAGCCCCTGGCGCTGCAGGGCATGTGTATTCCTGCAAGTGGGCCCAGGGATGCTACCATGTGGTTTTCATTCAGCACCTACAGCATGCCAGACAGTCAGACCGAGCACCTCGGAGACCCTGCCTTCCACTGACCACTCAACTAGTAGTGTAGTGAGAGCTTCAAAGGACAGGCACAGAGAACTTTGGAAATGCTGTGTCCTCACTAGACTCAGGGCTGGGGAAGGGGTGCACATTGGGGTGGGCCATTCTGCCACTGATGATCGTTGGGCTCCAGGTTACACAGTACCAGTTACAGTGGGTTGAGCCCTTGCTGCTCAAAGTGTGATTCTCAGCCCAGCAGCAGCACCATCCCCTGGGACCTTGTTGGAAGTATAGCATCTCTTGGTACTTCCCTGGCGGTCGAGTGGATAAGACTCCACAGTTCCACTGCAGGGGGGAGGGGTTCCATTCCTGGTGCAGGAACTAGGAGCCTAAGATCCCGCCTACCATGTGGCACATCCAAAAAAAAAAGAAGAAAGGAAAATAAATGCATCATCTCAGGCTTCTAACAAGATCCCCAGGTGTTTCATGGGTTAAGGTTGAGAAGCTCTGGCTTAAGGGTACTTATGTTCTAGAGCGAACACTTTATAAGAGCACTTGCTATGGGCAAACACTGTGCTAACTGTTTTTACATTTATTGACTCATTTAATTCTCCCAGTAACCTGCTAACCCTGGAACTGTTAGTATCCTCATGTTACAAATGAGGAAATGAAAGCCAAGAGAGGTTAATTAAATTGCCCAAGGTCACATAGCCAGAGTGGCTTCTCTGGTGGCTCAGACGGGAAAGAATCTGCCTGCAATGCAGGAGACCCAGGTTCGATCCCAGGGTTAGAAAGATCCCCTGGAGGAGGGCATGGCAACCCACTCCAGTATTCTTGCCTGGAGAATTCCATGGATGGAGGAGCCTGGTGGGCTACAGTCTGTGGGGTTGCAAAGAGTCAGACATGACTGAGCAACTAACAGTTTCATACAGCCAGTGAGTGACATCAATTTTGGGGATTCAAATCTAGCATTTGGAGTCTGCCCTTAACCATTCTACTCGACTCCCTCCCTCATTTAATGACTGTGTCTATCAGGATTTCCAGAGGTGGATGCTTCCAGCATGGTTTGGTGGCTCAGTGGTCTCTCCATCTTTTACCCTCTGCAGACTTCAGCATGGTGGACCAGTCATGGTTTATCCCTGGGGACTGGGGAATAGTTTTCCTTCCCAGTGCCCCCCTTTCTGCCTGATGGAAAAGTTGGTTCTGCATGTTAAGGATGGAAGGGCACAGCTATGAGTTGGGCAACCAGCCAAGCTCCCACTCCCCACCTCTCTGAGCATCTCCCCAGATAAAGGGCAGGATTCAGTACTCCTGAGAAAGGGCCAGGAAAATGGTACCTTCCCAGACCCCTCATCCATCCTGAGATACTCCCTGGTGACCATCTGCTTCAGTTTGGATTTCCCAAAACCAGACGCAAGACATGGATTTGAGGGCAAGCATTTCACTTGGAAGGTGATTCTGGAAAACATGGTGGAGGAACCCATAAGAGAGACAGGGCAAGGGAGGCATCCAGTAACGTGTGTTGAGAAGCCAGCTGCCACTGTGTGTATCCAGAGCTTAACTTTGATGGGGTCTCAGAACCAGCCTGACACAGGTGCCTGAGAGTCACTCCCTGGGAGGCCAGGGAGCTGGGGTATTTATATTTCCACTCTTACTAGTTACTGGTTGACGGCTGCTCACGGTTAAGTCTCCTGCCCTTCCTTTGGAAATGAGGGCT